CTCTCTCTCTCTCTCTCTCTCTCTCTCTCTCTCTCTCTCTCTCTCTCTCTCTCTCTCTGCTCTAGTCGTCATAGACCTACTCCACCAAGTCAGTTTTCGGCGATAACTGACCCAAAAGAGGCGACGATAGATCTCTCGTCTATAACAACCCCTTTAGCTGTGTATTTCTTCAGAAATTGTCGACTTTGGGTAAGTCCTAAATTCTTTTTTTTTTCTTTTAATAAATTAGATATTTTGGGGTAGATGAATATTTCTTTTTAAAGTAAAGTTCATGTGTATTTGATGTTTGTATTTGATTTGTATTAAATCATATGTTTATGTTGTTCATTGTTCGACTAGCTTTGGGTTTTATCATTTCGATTGTCGTCAGTATCGCGACCTAATGTATACTAATAAACTTATGGTCGATTATTATCAGATTTCAGTTGTTCGTCAGAATTAGATTTTTTTATAATTTATAAAATTTCAAGTATATGTTTCAAGTTATTAACTGTGACGTTGCTTATTTGCATCTAGTATAAACATGGGGAATAAAAGTTCTCTTACTAAGTTGGCTTATGAACCGAAAAAGATTGTAACAAAGATAGCAAATACAGAGCCTTCAAAGCCTGTCACTAGAAAAGCAATAGTTGCATCGCCTTCAAAGCCTGCCACCAAGAAATGAAAAAATGCTCCAAAGATTGGTAATAAGTAATGAAATACAGGTAGTTCTGAAGCTTCCACCAGTAAAGTAAATGTTGGGCCTTCTAAGCGTGACAAGAAGAAAGGAAAAACAGAGGCATCAAAACCTGTCAACGGGAAAAGAACAAGATCAAGTTAGAGAGTAGTTGACGAGACTTTCCCTGCCACTGAAAAACCTGTAGCAAGGTGTTTGACGTTAGAGAGTGATGATTTGCAGGAGGAAGAGGATGTGGACATGACCACAGCACAAATCCAAAGGAAACCTGTTGCCCAAAAATCAGTTGATAAAGAAAAAAGTGACGATGTAGATGAATGTTATGGTAATGAGGATCATAAAAATGGTGAAGTTGTGAGAGGAGGATGATTAAATGGAGGAGTTGATGAGGATGATGGAGCTGTTGAAGAAGATGGAGATGATATAGATGCTGAACACGATGAAAATGGTCAAGAGGAGTTGGAAAGTGAAACCCGTGAAAGAGGCGAAGATGATCAGGATCGTCCATCAGTTCCGGAACGTGATGACCCGATAGGTCATCTTATGTTTTAAAACCTAATTATGTGATCCGAAGCCTTAAAAATTATGTTTTAGCCTTTCTCGATTTGCGTGCGCAGTCCAGGTGTCTTCCCGGAAAGCTTTTACGTTAAAAACTGAGAAAAATAAGAATTTTTACCTTAGAAATTTATTTAAGTTGACTTCGGTCAATATTTTAAGCAAATGGACCCGGATCAGTATTTTGATAGTCCCGGTAGGTCCGTATTATAATTTGGGACCTGGGCATATGCCCTGAATCGAATTCGAAGATCCCTAGCCCGAGTTATTGATTTTTGTTAAAAATTTAAAGTTTGAAAGATTTTTGATATTTAAGAATCGACTGATGTTTGGATTTATTGATACCAGATCCGTATTTTAGTTCCAGAGCCCGGTATAAGTCCATTATAATATTTATGACGTGTCTGTCAAATTTGGTGAGAAACAGAAGTTATTTGACGTGATTCGGACGTTCGGTTGTGAAAATAGAAGTTTTAAAGTCTTCTTGAAAATCCTTTGATTTGGTGTTCAATTTATAGTTTTAGGTATTATTTTGGTGATTGGATCGTGCGAGCAAGTTCGTATGATGTTTTAGGACTTGTATGCATGTTTGGTTTGGAGCCCCGAGGGCTCGAGTGAGTTTCGGATAGACTACAAAGTGTTTTGAACTTAGAAAACATAGCAGATGCTGCAACTGATCTGCAGACTTCGCATTTGCGAGGTCTAGCTCGCAAATGCGAGCCTCACATTTGCGAAGAGACCATCGCATTTACGAGCAGTGGGCTGGGGGGAAGACCTTCGTATTTGCGAAGTTTTGATTGCATTTGCAATCCTGGCAGTCCGCATTTGCGAACACTGGTTCGCATTTGCGAAGGCAGCAGACATAGCCATTCTTCGCATTTGCGATCCAATTCCAAATTTAATCTCATCCCAATCAAAGGGAATAATCCCAAAACATCAATCTTATCCCAATTAAGGGGAACATCTCAATCAACTCTTACACCGGCACGTGTAGTTTCGAGTGTGGGCAGTTACAACCCACCTTTCCTCGGCTCGCTAATGATACTCCCAAAAATATTTTATTTTGCACACAAAGGAAATAGAAATACAAATGCATTAATCTCATAACCTTACACGCCATATATAGCTTCATTATTACTTTCAATCACTCACAACATCATTATTTCATTGGCTCTCTTGGTCGTACATAGAGTTCTTCATTAATGGCACGTTGGTCGTATTTTATAGTACACACTTTCATTTATTTACTTTCAAGGATCATTATGACAAACATCAATATATAGAATGTTTCGGAAATCATAACTTTAAGCTCATTAGTAATAAAGGCTTTAAACACAATGGATTTTTTTCCAAAGAAATAGAGCAAAATGATTGTCAATCGAAGCACAAAGTAAAATTATAAACGAGCAACACACCATTTATTCTTAAAATACTTTTGCCCAAAAAGTCAATACATAATTTTAACTCATGAGTATGTA